CGAAACGATCCAATATTAAGCAGAAATTTTTCAGTTGTACAATAGGAAACGTATTCTGGACATAATTCTGTGTATTTTGCCATTAGCAAGTATAATTAATTTGTTTAGTAGTGAAGTGACTGACGGTACAAAGAAACAAAGACACGCAAGCAATTTAACTTGCTTGAAAGCAACCTGTTTTAACGCGGAAACCGATCGTAGTGCAAAAATGGCGAGGGAGGTGAAAGTGAATTGCGCATCGGTCGCTATATTTGCAATTTTATTGCTTACCCAAAATTTAGGGTGTAGTGAAGCCAAGCGCGTTTTGAGCAGCAATCGGAAATCGAATAGTGGACGTACCCCAAGTAGTGGACATGTTACCAAAAGCTATCCGACACAAAGCAGTGCAGGTAACTCGCACTCAGACCTTGCCAAGTTGAGCTATTCAGGATACAATTCGGCACCAAATCGCCCAGCGTCGGCTGCCGGAAGTGGTTCCACCAATACTCAACCTATAGGATGGAATGTGCCGAAATCGCAAGGATCCCCGGCTTCTGGAACCAATGTGCACACTCCAATAACAGCCACTAATACACAGGGTGTGCAGAGCTCTTATCCTGGTGCCACTTATAATTCTCCTGGCTCGGTTCCTGCAGGCGCAACATATCATTCACCTGGGTCAGTTCCAGCTGGCGCAACGTACTATTCTCCCGGATCTGTGCCTGCTGGCGCGACGTACCACTCGCCTGGAGCACTGCCTGCTGGCGCAACATACCATTCACCTGGTTCACTGCCTGCTGGCGCAACATACCATTCACCTGGTTCATACCCCGCTGGAGGAAACCCATATTCAGCGCCTGGACATATGCCAGTAAATGGCGGTTACTATCCAGCTGGAGGCAGTCAATATCCCTCGGCTGGTGTACCAGCTGGTGCTACTTACGTAGCTCCTGGTGCTGCACTTCCTCCAGGTGCTGTGCTTTACTCATCACCACCGCAACAAACATCGACAGGATTAGGATTTGGTAAGGTACTCAATACTGAAAAAAAATATCAATTCTAAATAGTTGAATATTAGGTTCTGGTTTGGCTGCTGGTGCGATTGGAGGCGCAATTCTTGGTCACGTGCTTACGCCAACTCATACCCGTGTGGAATCAGCACCCGCTGGGCAACCAGGTAGCGCGGATGACAAAATCATCATTATTAATAACGGCCCACCAGGTTCAGTAACTACGACAAATGCTGCCGGTGCTACCGTCATCACAACTGGTGTCGTTGGCGAAAACGCCACACAACCCATGCCAGCGCCAGCACAGGCTGCTGCACCAGCTGATCCGGCAATACCAAACGTACCGCTTGCCCCCATAGGTGATAATAACGCAGCGCAACCAACACCAGCACCAGGTGCTATACCCGCCGCCGCTCCACAACCAGCCCCCGAACAACCCCCACCAGGCGGCATAATTTGTGTACCAGTACGCGTTAATGAAACCGATCCAGCAGATAGTAGCAAGATGATTGAAGTAGAAAAAATTGCTTGCTACCCAGCACCCCCGCCGCCCCCACCAGCATCTGTAACTGGTGCTGAAATGAATGGTACAGCGCCAGTTATGCCACCAGCTAGCGAAGGAAGTGCACCGTTGGCGCCAATGAGCCCAGTCACCGCAGCTTCACAACAATTGCAAGCAAATCCAACCCAAGCACCCTTGTTGCCGGACAATGCTTCGGTAAAAACAAGCGGTGCTGGGGCATGGTTCAATTATGCCGCCTGCAATTCTATGTCAACTGTGCTATTGCCATTATTTGTTGCTTTTTTTGGACTTCATTAAGTATGTGAAACCATAGAAGGCAAAAAAAAAAGCAGACAAAATTAAAAGACAGTAAAGTAGTGAGTTAAAAATAGTATGAAAAAATCGATATGCCTATAGGGCTACAAGCTTAGTAAATTGATGCAACAAATGTTATGGAATTCGTATACCTCTTTTTGTAACAAATATTTTCTTACCTTTGCATAATGCTTCGAATCGGAAGAATCTCAGCATATTTTACAATGCTTCGTTTTTAATCATAACACGTTTTTTTTATTTTTATTAAGAATTATTAAATTTTCTCAAATATATGTTGTAAAGTATTATAGGCAATACATGCTTTAAATGTAAAAAAGTATTGTTAATACACATATCCATCAAATATACGAAAGAACAAATCGGCCGAACAATACAAACATACAAATATTGGTATGTAAGTCATTAACCTGTGAAATTACACGTCTAACCTTTGTGATCTTAAAATATACGTCGAATAATAATTGCGATTTTGCTCGCCTCTTTGCCACATATGATTCTCCATTTTGAACAGATATTCCAACTCGAAACTCGCGCCTTTGTAATTTAAATTAGGGAATTTTTAATGCAGACAACAACAAGTAAACAACATTTGCAGCTCAAAATATTTTATAACAAATGTCTTCTTATAAATGCAGTTAAATCAGTAAATATCTTTTGTCTTCATAAGCCATATAAAAGTGTTTAAAGTATATATAAATCCATTTTAAAAACTTAATTCCAATAGTCACCGCAGTAAATACATGTATATATTCATAGATATTTGCTAATTGTATTGTGCACCTAACAAATTAAAAATATTTAATGCAATAAAATTAGCTTGCAGCACCCCACACTAACCGCAAAAACTTGTTTGACTTACGTTGAGTAATGGTTGTAATAAATAAAAAAGGTAAACAACTGTCTTAGCAGTACAACAGGTATGTAAGTACTCGTATGCTTAATTTCTTTGTAACTACATATATACCCATTAGTTGGAAAATTTTAATTAAAAACAATTTGTGCAGTCCTGCTAATAATACTACGAGTTTATCAATTCTACAAATTTCAATAGTGAGTTTATTCCAGCCTTTCATTAAAGTTAAAAATTAATAAAACTCGACAAAGCAATAATAAATTAGAAATATTTACATATTATTTTTTTCAAGCTTAATTACAATTCAACCATTTTCCATAAAAACAATAAATTAACTATGCAAGTTTTATTGTAAATAATCAATAAAAATGCTAGACACTACCCGGAATATTTAACTAATTTCCCAAATGCGGAAGGTTAAATTTGTATTTCTTTTAGATATTCCACCCAGGTGCCATTAGCCGTGTCTAGTTAGCTGCTAACAATGCTGCTTTACACGATATCACACTTTGCCTATACATTTATTAGAGCAACAACAATGCTTATATTGATATTTTTGTTAGTAAACAAATTGTAGAATATGCAAATAAAAAGCACAAACACCGGTTCTGAGTAAATAAAAGTCATACATACCTATGCATGCTTGTGAATACACCAATTTAGCGCAGTCTGATTTCACTCATTTCAGCACAGCCGCTGCGATAAATCTTCATTAAACCTAAATAAATATGCATAGCTTAAATACATATTTGTATGTTAAATATTAACATTTGACTGCATGTCAAAGTGTAATTTTAAATATAAAATTACTAATACGTCTAAATTTTACTTTTTAAAACGTTATGAAATATTTAAATGTTGCTCTGAAATTAACGAAGCACATACATACAATGTACGTACAATAATATAATATTCATAAATAACTGTGTCGTTAAAGTGCAGAGAATGTTTTCTGTAATATGTGCTTATTAAACGCAACTTCAGTAAACATTCATAAATAAGTGACAATTCAAAGCCAAGATAAACCATTAATAATAAAAACTCATGTATAAATAAAAATAAAAGTTATTCGATATTAATTTTATCGTACCAAGTTCTCATATTTTATTCCAGCAATATTTTTTTGTATTAAACAAAGTAATTGTGTGTATTAATGCATACGCGTTCGCTTACATAGCAGTTACAGTTCGTGTTTTATTTGTATATGCTTAATGCTATTTAAAAATATATTTTGTGTGTGTGTGTATTTGATTGATGCTTATTTAAGGACACTTAAAAACAATTTATAGTACATACTATAAAATATAATGCAGCAAAATTGGGGTAATAAATATGCTGAATAAGGAAGGTCGACGATGCCGTTGCGGATGATACAGGTGACAAGTAAAGACATGTCCCAGTACCTGCAAACATGTGTGTTCATGTACATATGTAAGTATTTACAGCACGTTATTTATTAAATGCATATATGTATGTACATACATATGTAGTAAATAACTTATATAAGAGTTTGTGTAGCAGTTTGTATAACAAAATAAATTAATATACCTACATAGTACATATGTATGTAATTTTTAGTTTAAAATTTCGGCAACAATTTCTGTGGGTGGATTACATATGTACATACATATGTAGATATGCATATGCATATAGGTATGTATATTTAAATATAAATGCATTGCACCTCGAGCCAAATGCATACATACATATGTATTTATATTTTTACAATCATAATATTATATAATACTTATGTCAGGTCCAGGATTGGAAATAATGCATTAAAAATAATTAAATTAATTTTTTAATTTTGTAATTGCGAAAACTTTAATTAAAATTAATGGGTTGAAAAATAACAAAATGTTAATTCCAAGTATGTAATAAAAATAATTGTTTTTGATTTAACATTATTTTATTTCACGAGCGTACTTCGTGCTCTAGACGCAGAAGAGTGGTTAACAAATCTGCACATTTAATCGATTTAATTTTAATTGCTCTTCTGCAATAAAGTTGCCAAAATTGGAATTAAAAAAATTCGAAAAAATATTTTAAATTCATTTTTAATTAAAAAATTCGCAACCCTGGTCAGGTCTTTTTTATAATTTAAAAAAAAAATTTAAAAAAATTTGTTTAAATCTGACCCGATAAAATCTAATTTTAAATTCAAAAATGTTTAATTAAAAAATTCGCAACCCTGGTCAGGTCTTTTTTATAATTTAAAAAAAAAATTTAAAAAAATTTGTTTAAATCTGACCCGATAAAATCTAATTTTAAATTCAAAAATGTTTAATTAAAAAATTCGCAACCCTGGTCAGGTCTTTTTTATAATTTTATTGTATGTGCCATTTTTTTTTATAAATTTCAATACGCTCCGTCACTCATTTGATTAATGCGTTGGGTGTTCCCCTGATAAACAATGCCATTTTTCGTGAAAGTGATCCGGCAATTTTATGCAATCCAGCCACTGCTGCAAACGTTCGCCCTTGCTATTGTAGCCGATTACCAAACTGCCCAGAAAATCATTGCTCTTGCCGATGTCTTTATCCCAAACGGTTATATACAACGTTTGTTTATTCAGATCATGTGGACTGGATTCGAAATAGAACTCTTCGCGATATATTGGATTTAATGTGCGCCATTTGACACCGGTTTTGTATTTTTTATTCTTATGAGAATCAGGTTTCAGTTGTCTAAATGAAAAAAAAAATAAACTTTTAGTTTAATGAAGCGCTCAGTTGCAATTAGCAGAGTGCAAATTGAATGGATATGAATATGCAAATAAACATGACATATTTTTCATAAGAGCATAAGGCTTTTATAATTATGTATGTATATATGTACATACCTACATATGTATAGTATACATAGTACATGTATTTTTGTACATATGTATAGTACTTGTACGTATGTATGTAGAACGCTATTTGAACGCGTAAAAAGTTTTCAAAGGCTTATCTAACTAATTAGCATATTTTCGGAAATTTGTTGAAGTTAAACGATATTTTGGTTTTCACATAAAATGAGTTGAGCTAAAAGAAAAAGGTAAAATAAGAAAAAAAAAAAAACGCTAACTGTGGCTGCACTGAAGCTACATATATTACCCTTCATACGAGCTTTTTTATGACATAAAGGGTATACAAATATTTGCTGGATTTAGTTTGTAAGGCAGCTATATTCGTACATACATATGTACATACATATATATACTTTATACGGTCACGGACATTTCCTTTTGGATGTTACAGACTTTGTGGTAACCTTTATCCGGCCTAATTCCCGTTGTCGTTTCCAAGTTGTAATCGTTGTTATCGTCATTTTGTTCCTAATTTCGTGTTCTTGAAGTATAACAGTCACGTCAAACAAAAGTTATCTTAAGGGGGGAGATACCTTTAGTATCGTCAAAAAAGGTAATTTTTTCCAATTTTATTATAAAAAAATAAAAAAAAAGATCACATCCGGTTTTTTGCATATATATTAAGAGGTATTATTGCACTACAAAATAAAAATTATTTTATGTAAAAAACAAATTGCCGAAATATCAACGATCCCGTTGATTGACATTTTTTTGTGGTCATCAACTTCCTGGCTAGACTTCCTATCCGAAACGAAATAAGTATTTTTTTTTTTAATCTGGAAGCTTTTATCAAGTGCATAGTAGAGGGGTTTTGAGAATTTCGAAAAATCGGAAATGTAGGCCAGAATTTTAAAACTTAAACAACTGTCAAAATGCCATTTTTCTCGGAAAAGCGCTCTATTATGCACTTGAGTATAAAATTGTGTATTAAATACGCTTTAGTTCAAATAAATTTGATAAATAATGCGCTCGCAGTTTTGACGACCGGATGAAAAAAGTTAGTTTCGAGGAAACGAGCCTCAAAGTTCTGCGGTTGTATAGACTGCAGCATGAAGTGCAATGTAGCACCATTTCTTCGAAAATATACGGAGTACACCAGTGAAACTTCGGGACTATATTTTTGAATAGTTTTCAAATTGTTTAGAGTGAACATTTTTTTTTATTTATTTATTTTTTTAATTCTAAATGTATCTCCCCCCTTAATTTAAAATTAAGAAAGTATGGTAACTTTTCATTTTCACTTCAAATAATCGCGCTCGTTTCTATATCGCTCTCGTCGTTACTATACTAGTTTCAAAATCGGAAATACCCATTTATTTGCGATAAAAATCGATAACGCCAACGGTAATGCCACATAGACTCTTCTATTTCCTTTTAAAATGATAACGACAACGGTAATAGGGCCGAATATATTCACTATTCAGGGTATGAAAGATTCACACTTACAGCTTAACAAATGGATCCGAGCTGCCATTGTTGTCCATCGGTATCAAATTGATGCACTGCTTTACATTCACCACCAAAGCACGTCGCTTTGTATTATAGCATAGTGATATCAGAATTTTGCCATGCGGCCACTCCTGTGACATTTCCGCTTCATTGCTAAACCGATCCTCGCCACCCAACGGCACAGATATGCGATACTGATTGGTATTGTGCACCTGCGTTTGAGAAAAATATATAAAACCAATAACTATTAAGTTTCTCCGCAATTAACGACTACTCTCTGCTGTCAACTTACCGGCGACAACGAAATTTTAGCGCCTCCCAAGTAGTCATGCCCATACTTATCGTCATCGAATATCGCAACATACAGCGACGAACCGCCTAGTTCCTCCGGTTCGACGCCCACAAATTGCAAAGTTTCATTAAATTCAGGGTTGCGCGTCTTATGCACAGTTTTAGTACGCAACCAACGCGAATACTTGGTCATACCATCGGGCGTCACAATATTCACCTTACAATAGGGATCCGTTAAACCAGCCGCATCCATAGCAGGCAGATCACGTGCTCTTACCATTACGCAGTCCAAACTATGTACGCTCTCACGATAGCTAACCGCCACCTCGAGCCAACCGAGCAACTCGCGACAATGCAAATTTACTTGATTGTGATTGGGCACATGATTGCTCGTGTTTGCCGAATTGCCCGATGAACTTTCGCCACTGATCGACCAAGATGACGAGACGGAGCTGCGACGCGTATAATTACTATTGCTCTCACGCCTATTGTTTACCGAAGTGACAGTCGAAGCCGTTGATATGGTGTCATAGTCCTGTTGATTACTTTCTGTACGCGATGTCTGACGATTGGCGAAAAAAGAATTGGAAAGTTTCCGCTCACCGCTATCAATGAAACTGCGTATGGAGCCGAAAGTACGCAGACGAAAACTATCCTCACGTTGCATACGCGTCGCCGCGGGTGGTGAGACATCAGCGTTGATGGAATTTCTGTTCGGTGTGCGTGCTGTTGTCAACGGCGCTGCAGCACACACAGCGCTGATGGCGCCATCCACAACATCACCAACACCGTCGCCACCACCGTTTGTATCCTCTTCCGAACTACTGCTATCGTCCACATGTATTGTCAGCTTCTTAACGCGCACATTGCGTGTGGGCGTGTTGTTGCAGCTTTGTGCGCCACGCGGCGGCAGCAACACATCAGACATGGCGCTGCCACTTGCTGACTGATGTGTGGGTGTCGAATTAGTGCTGCTGGGTGCGTCATAATTGGGAAGCCCTTTGAAAAACCATGCGCCCGACTTTTTCCACATTTCGCGTGTCTCCGAGCAGATGCGGCACAACCATATTTCGCGCGTGCGATCACTGGTATGATAACGTATATTAATGTCGACACTGCATTTTGTACACACCGATTTCTTGCAGTCCTCACAAATGATGCGCGTTGAACGCAGCAGCCCAAAGGTGTCACCGCAGAGCCGGCAACAATTTGGACCACCTTCGACGGCGCGTTGTTTAATTTTCTCCACACGCTCGACAAGTCGACCAACGCGTTGCCGTTCGGCGGTCTCGATTTCCTCATTGCGGCGTATAACGGAAATAATAGCGGCTTGCTCATCGGGCCGAAGCGGTTCGTTGGTCTTAGAGCTGCTCCATCCAGCGCGTAATCTGTGGGGGGAAAGAAAGATTAACGAATTTTTTATGGCAAAAGTTTTAAAGTAGATCAGGGTTATAGCCTTTCGAAATGGTAATAAGTGAAACAAAGTATGGGTTAACATCCAATGGGAAAGGAAGAGAATATAACAAAAGTAAAAAAAATATATATAATTTACAGACGTTCTGAAAAGCTGTGGTAGGAGGCATTGAGTTTTTAAATGAAAAAAGGGTTTGCTAAATTTTCAGAAAAATTAACTGACTTAACTTTCGTGTTAATACCTTTTTTCCCAAAATTTACGTGAAAAATTTTAACCAACTATATCTAACTAGATTTTTGAATTTTATTTTTTTTTCATTTCTTTTTTTTAACAAATTTGACAAATAAATATTTATTTTCAAAGCACAAATCGCGAAATTCTTTCAAGTAACTGCGAACTTAGTTATGTAAAGCTCATCTCTCCATCCGGTTTAAAATCTCAAATTGTAAGACCCTTCATATGACAGAAAATCATCAAATTTTTTATACAAAATAAAAAACAAAATTAATTAAAAATGAAATATTTATTATCTATTATCAAAGCCGCTAACTGGTGTTCTAGGTATACCTTTATAGGTTCAATTATTACAATTTTTTTTTTACTTTGTCACTCTGTGTGAATGAATTTACCATGTTATACTTGTTTATGTAGTTTTGTTGCGATTATGTACCTTGCTCACGTTTCGCCGAGGGGCGAAATTTTATACAACATTTAAGTATATTCTAATAGATGCTGTGCTTTGACACGCAATATTGAACATTAAAGATTATTGTTTTCCTGATAAGGCTTCGCACAGAATTGTAGAGTCCGACATTTTTAGTATAACAAAAATTGCGTAATAAAAAACTCGGTCAAACAACTGTACAAATATGTATTGCATATATGTGTAGTCACAATTTTCCAACAAATTTCACAATAGTGTATTCAATTTCAATAGAGCACCGTGGAGGCATTATATTTCATCACCCCTGGTTGTGTGCTCAAATTATACCTATGTACCTATATACATACATATGTATATGTATAATGTACATGTATACAATAAGTACAACAAACACGTTTATACGCCATTTATCTGATTCTTATAACACAGTCATGTGCCAAGTTCATGGCAATCAGCACAAAAATAATTACATATGACTAATTTCGTGAAACAGCATGACAAAAATAAACGCCGCAAGTAGTGTAGAACTAACTAAAGGAAATAAAAGAAACCTGAATTGGGCAAAAATGTAAGCCAAAAATGCTTATGCATATGGCTAAGAGCTCGTTAAAGGTTTTTATTTTTATTTTTATTTTTATCAAAGCCACCCCTAACCTGTTGTGCCGCTATTCACGTCATTTCCTCATCATATCGTCAATGGCAGGCTTGTTGTGCTCATTAAACAAACCTCACAGCGGCAGCGCTTCCCTCCACTGTGACTGCGCTGCGCAGTCGACTGTATGACTCAACAAAAACAAAGAAGAGCACATTAAAAGTAAAGAAGCTAAGTTCTCATGTAAAGCTTTGTATTTATTTGTTTGCTTTTGCTTATGTTGGTGTTTGTTGTTTTCATTTATTTGCATATCTACTTGTTTATCGCACGAGCACTATCTTTTTTCTTGCTTACTTATACAAGTTAGGAGTCAACGATAGACAGCAGGTAAGGAGAACGAAAACTTTATGCTTATATGTACATATGTACATGTATGTTAGTTGGTCCTTTTAAAGTTCATATGTAAATAACTCTTTAAGTATGTGTGTTTCTTGCGAGGTTAATGGCTTGGCATTCAGCTTAACCACATGCATGGCCGTAATGTCTGCCGACGTGTGATATATCAGTTGTTTGTATGAGTGCCATGAGCTTGGCTATCTAACTTACGACCGTAGTGGTTATTGTGTCTGTGCTTATTTTATTGCTTATGTGTGAAGAGTAGCACGAGCGCAAACACGTTTTCAACATATTTTCGCATTCAATTACTTTTTTTATTTTGTATAATATAAACGCTACCGCAGGCAAAATGTGATTGCCGACGTGTCGCTTACTTTATACCGTTTCTTTTATTGTTGCTGTCACTTATTACTCAATGAAATGTGCTGATGAGTGACGGCGCTTTGCAATTCAGGCCTGCGGGGAGAAAAACAAAAAAAAAAATCAAAATGAAATGAAAAATAAAGAAGCTAGCTTAGAATTAAAATGTGTGATGCAAGTAAAAAGTAGCTTAAATATTTGATTAAAAGCCGGTCCTAAAAGTATTTTTTGTCGGTCCAATAACACGGACTTTATTGTATACACATACAAATAACTAAAATTTAATTAACCCCTATGTTAATGATCAACTTTATGGACGTCGTTGACCGGTACATACGAACGTTAATATTGAACATTTTTAATTTTAAAATTTTTTTTTTTTATTTTTATTTATATCTATATACTATACTTACATATATGTATATCTACAGTTATTGATTATGTTCTGAAAAAAATACTGTGGAATTGTGAGGGACTTCTGAAGTTTTATACTTCTTAATTCAAGAAAACCAAGGTAGTGAAAACATTTTTATTTATTTGAACGGCTGAATGTTTAGTGGGAAATAATTTCAAGGTTGTTTCTTTGTTTGCTTTCTTTGCACACATGATGCGACCACTGTGGACATCTCTTCTTATTTTTTTTTTTTTAATGTAGACTCGGCTAATCCTTATCTTAAAAAAGCTATAATAATTTCTGGAAAAAAATAGTGCGTAAAATAAAACAAATATTTGAACTTAAAAAAATCAGAAATTTTAATACCATTTACTATTAGAAAAGAATAATTTACATAAATCTTTTTACTTCATGCTAACATGTGTACCATCATTCACATAATATTTTCACCCTCTAATTTAAATCAAATTGTAAAATTCGTCTGATAGGATTTGAATAAAAATTTTGACAGAAAAATTATTATAAGTTTAATTCTTGAAAAGTAATGAAAATTTAAAAACATAAAGCATATTAATGAATTCTTTAAATGAAGAAAACTCTCTTTGAGAGTAAGCTATTAGTGTAATTATTTAAAATTTTGGACATAAGTATAATTTTTTTCTATTGAGCAGTATCATAAAACCGGAAGGTATAAGATTATTGAAACAAAAATTTATAAAAATTTTAATTTTTATTATTAAGATAAAAGGTTTTAAGCATTCAAGATTAGGTCAATGACAATGTATTAAGATAGAAATTTCTATTTATACGCTTCTGTTAACCAACCCATGGATACATAGTTTAAAGATGATAGTTACGTATACGCAGTGTACACTCAAAAAATCTTACTTCGCAGCATTTTCAAAATATTCTTAATTCAATAAATTTTAAGCAAATAAAATAATAAAATTAAAAATAATTTGTTTGCCTGTTATGCCTCTAATTATTCAAAAAATTAATATAAAGTTTTACCACTTAGACCATGAATACATAGAGGTTGCGTATACGCAGTGGCTAGTGAAAAAGAAAACATCTGCCAGAACATACATACGTACATAATAAATGAATTAAACAAATTTTTTTGTAAAACAAATAAACTTAAAAATAATTAAACAATATTTATGAATAAATGTAAACAATAAAAATAAAATTAAATTAAAATTTCAATAAAATACTT